TTACTGTTTTGGATCCAATTTAGAACGTTGAGAGTGGGCAGCCCACACATCAGCTTTAATTTAGAATTAATTCAATGTGCGGAGTTTATGTATAATCAAAGGTTCCGCTAACCTATAGTTTCTGGCGCGCCCGTTGATGTGTGGGACTGTTCACAACTGCGACTGAAACCAGTGGGGTCACACTCTCATCAGGGAAACCAGTCAGACCAGGACCGCATATCGGATCTCCAGTTCAGCTTGGCACAGGATTCCCGCTGTTGGTCCGGGACCATTGCTCAGGAAAATGGACCGGCGATAGAGAGGGAGAGAGGGGGAGAGAGACAGAGAGAGGAGTTATGTATGAGCATGTCCCAATTGCGCTGCATTTTATGAACCACCAGATGGCATTCCAAGACTGTCACTGACTCAGCACTTTGAGCTCCCATTGACTTGTATTGCAAAATATAAAGCTGAATAGATTAAAAAGTATAAATGTTGTAAAAAAGTTGAATACAAGCAGGGATGTCCTTGAAGAGTTGAACAGATCAAGATCTCAGTGGCCTGTATAGCTGAAAGTATGCTGGACTTACAGTATAAAGTGCCAAAAAAGGGGTGGAAGATCCCAGAATAATAATAATAATAAATAAAGAACAGGAGAGCATAGTGTGGATGCTTTACAGCATCCACACAATAATAAATAAAGAACAGGAGAGCATAGTGTGGCTCAGCATCCACACAATTAACTAGTAACTGGATATTTTATATACCTGTTAACAATAGCAATCAATAACAGAATGGGGTTAAAATAATGCTTGTTCAATGTCCAAAATAACCTCAACATGATCTGCTAATAAGCAGCTTAGATGGCCAAAAATATGAAAGATCATTAGTCCCATCTAGTGGTCCAAGAAGGCACTGCCACCCTGACCTTTTCTGGACCTCTTGGCTCTCTCCCCGAGGATCCAGGAAACAAAACATATTTTCCAAGATCTTCTGATCCTGAGTCTGTGTGCTGCTGGTATCCTCACCACCACAAGGCTCAAACTGGGCAACTTACACAGGTTTAGGTGAGATGTAATGATGACTTTCTACCAACATGTGCCAGGAGATGAGCTTTTAAGTTAGTAAATATTCATTAGCATATTGTTTTTAAAAGAAAATATCCAAAATGGAATTCTCATTATACATTATATACCTCAGTTATACTGATTTGTTAACTTTAACAGTAAACAACAAACAGATGAAACTGTAGGCCTAAATTTCTTCTTTTATTACAGAATGTTTTATAAAATACATGATATGGGCACATTTTTGTTTATGCCATACAAAATATATATGGATGGATGGATTTATCTTACTTTTATTGTGAATTTTGTTTCTCTTTTACACTTACTGTCCACTTTATTAGGTACACCTGTACATCTGTATGCAGTTCAATGCAACACTTCCACCTTAACATCTGTGTTTATGAAGCTCAAAATGCTTCAGTTTTTGGTGAAAGTGTTATAAATGTATAAATTCAATTATGTATTTATTATTGAGGTCATATTTAAAGGTGCTGTTGTCTGGGACTACACTATATTTAGAGGTGTTTCTATATTTTTGTCCTCCCATACACAAGAGTGTCAGATCTGATGGCTTCTATGCTGTACAATGAAATGCGTGCATGTATACAGTGGCATGCCTTAGACAATAAATACAAGCTGGTCAAAATAACATTTCTGCAAATGTAACTTTTTTGTTAGTTTTATGCTTAATACTATCTTAGTGCCATGTCAAATAGCTAGACTAACAAAAAAGACACGTGATTGAGACTACAATACAAATCAGCTATCAGGACAGTAGCCAAAATCTAAATAAAGCCCAAATTAAATACAAAAACTGCATTATATTTGTTGTTTTACTTGTTTACATTTTCGAGAGACTGATGTTGTCATACCACTTTCTAGAACAGTGGGTGGCGGTAGTGCGTTTTCTTTTAGTCGATTTCATTGGAAGCAGGTACGAAGAAGAAGTAGGCTAAATAGTAACTACTAGCACGGTTTACTTTTGTTAGCAAGTGAAGTTGGAGACAGAGTTTGGTAAGGCGGTGGTTTGCACTATTGCTGACAACGCGTTTGGATAAGGTAATTAGATAGAATTAGATTAGTCTTATTATAAAAAAAGTCTACGAAACTGTATTTTCGGTCAGCGGCGTTTATCCACATGGTCTCAAACGCATGTGCCAACTGTAAATGTAACTGAAGTAAAGCAGCTCGCGGACATAATTGTCAATAGTTGGCAGCACCCAGCGAATGTCAAAGCTAAAGCTAAGCTGCTAGCAGTAGCTGCCGTTACCCTGGTAGCTAACGTTAGTGTTGCTTTCAAGTGCTCCTTATGAGCTCCGTCCTCCAAAAACTTGTAAATATAGTTTGCTGAACTGTGTGCTGAAAAGTAACTGTTAGATGGATCGAATAATCTGTGAGAGGCGCATATCAACCACAGAAGTGCTGTAGGTACAGGTACAGTACATACTTTGTAAAATAAAGACATCCTATTAGTACATTCCGGGGCGTTTGTTTGTTTGCCTTGTTTCGTTTATGGGTGTGAAATTCCAGGTCAGACAAAACGCTGTTGGGATTATACACCGATCAGGCATAACATTATGACCACCTGTACATCTGTATGCACTTCAGTGCCACACTTCTTCCTTAACATTTGTGTTTATGAATCGCAAAATATTTCAGCTTTTGGTGAGATTGTCATAAATGTATAAATTCAATTATATGTTCATTATTGAGGTCATAGTTAAAGGTGGTGTTGTACTGGACTACATTATATTTAGAGGTGTTCCTAATATTCTGACCCTCTCATGTATGTCAGTGGGCAGGACAAAAATATACAGACACCTCTGAATATAATGTAGTCCAGTTACTTGATTTTTTACAACTACCGGACACTATATGCTACAAGTACAGTGATTAATTAAGCAGTTACTTAACGATTATTTGAAACTTTGTGAAAACTATTTTGTCATGTTTTATATGAAGATGACAAGCATTTCACTCCAGCCTCTAATATGTGAAGATTTTATCATTTTCATTTGATTTATTTTGATAACTTTAATTTACTGATAATAATTTTGAGGGTGGGACTGTTGGTCAGACAAAACAAGTGTTGTGAAGGTGTCACTTTGAGCTCTGGGTAACTGTGATGGTTACTTACTGATTTTTACTGTCAGCTCCTCGAAGGTGAGGACTTGTGCTTTGGTGTGCTGTTCAGACAAACCAAGACATTTGAAAAAGTCAACTTGGACTTGGAAAATTTGCTTAAATAACTGGAAAATTAATCCTGATAAAAAAAATAAAAAAAAATGTTGTCACTGGCCTAGTTGAATCTTAACAGTTGACACTGGGCGAAAACGTGGGGTATCTTAGAGCCTGAACAGGCCTCCAGCCAGTCTATCATAGGGCTGACACATAGAGACAGATAAACATTCGCCCTCAGATTCACAACTACAAGAAATTTAGTTGCCAGTCAACTCAAGCTGCATGTCTTTGGACTGTAGGAGGGAGCTGGAGCACCCAGAAGCCCGCACAGGGAGAGTATGCAAACTCCACACTGAAAGGTGCCAGTCAGCCATGAGGTTGGCACTCAGGTGGCAGTGCTAACCACTGAACCACCTTACCACCCTAGTCTTGCTTTCTGTACACAAAACTTTGTTTTAAACATAGCTGAGATGGTTACTGTAACTGACCCTCAACAGTTTATAAGTAAATATGCATTACAAAACACATACAGAATTAATATGTACAAAATTTAAGCTATATAATGTATATATGTATTTAGTTTGTATAAACATGTTAGTAAAAGTGTTATATTGATATAATTAAAAAAGACATTTAATATTGGAATTGGGATATTCTTTCCAGGCAGGTGTTTTCATTATGCGGCGAGTGGAGCATGTACCTCAGGCTTTTGAGGCCCCTGTCGATGTCCATGCCAGCGCAGATGGCCAGGTTTACATGTTCAACAGGAGGCTGAATCAGGCAGCTGTATCTTCAGATGATGAGGAGCTCACTGTCGTGGAGATGAGGCCACGGGCTTTCCAAGAGCAGGACAGACTCAGGAACGTCCAGCTGCTGGACCGGGAGGTCTTGGATGGTGACAGCCTGAACAAACTTGCACTGCAGTATGGCTGTAAGGTAAAGATTTTTGAAAGTCACTGAGGTTTTTATATAATTCTAGCTTTAATGATATCTTCAGAGGCCAATTAAGTGTTGACATAAACATATTTTCATACCTATTTCTGTCAACAGGTGGCAGATATAAAGCGGGTCAACAACCTTATGCAGGAACAAGATTTATTTGCACTGAAATCAATAAAGATACCAGTTCCGAAACACAGCCTTTTAACAGAGACTTGCACAGGCCTAAATGATTCTCATTCATTTTCCAGACCAGTGAAGCTTCAGGACAGAGCCAGAGCCCAGCCACAACTACAGGTCACAGAATTTCTAATAGAGGTGGACAACGATACTGAAAAACTGATTCAGACCAAAAATGGTCAAGATGAGGATTTCTTGAATAACTCTGAGAAACCACAACAGTTTGGTTTCAGAGGACAGCGCCTGACCAGTCACGGCGCAGACTGGGGCATCCACTGGTGGAACGCTTTAGTTGCCATGCTTCTGATAGGCATTGTTCTGCCGTTGTTTTATGTAATTTACTTCAAAACAAAAGGTACAAACGATCATGGAGTAGTTTCACCATCAGTTGTTAGCGGTACTTTACAGACACTCATCACCTCTTCAAACACCTCAGGGGCCACCCTCATTACAAGAAAACCAGGTTAGTGTGGACTTCAATAGGTGGCAATCAAGATAAACCCAAAGCTCTTTATGTTATAACTAAGTGCAATACCACCACGTGTGTAGTTTCCACTACAGAATTTTGCCTTTAATTACACAAACTGTGACGGTTCACTTGTTGAAGGGAACTAGCTGTACACTGCTCTCATTTTTGTGTGAATTTAAGACAATATTTTATCAAAAAAAGCTTTTGTAAAGTGCAGCTGGCTGAAATAATCTCCTTGGTACTACTGTATGTATTCCTGATCTTTTGCTTTGACAAACTAATGTTTGCTGGGATTATATTTCACCAGGTGCTTTACTAACTGTGAAATATTAAAGGGTTGTGTGTTGAACCTCCTCACATGACACAAGCTGAGCAACAATTGCCAAAAAAGAACACAATGTAGGCATTTCGGAGTAGGCCTGTTGTCTGAATGAACATAAAGAGCGATCACATCATGGTCAGATTTCAGGTGGAAATTTGATTTGATCCCAATGCAATTTACAGTTTAAAAATGCATTTAAATGTTTGCCCACAACTGCTGCTGCTTTGACTGTGTGAGGTTAAATTGTATTTGACGTGGGTTTGAGCATTATTTGTGACTTTTCTGATCTAACTTAGGTTTTGTTTGTTTGTCTGTATGTTCATTGTCTGGTTAATGCTATGCACCTTCTGAAAATGCCAAAAGTGTGGGGTTTTCTTCTTTTTCTAGTGAATAGTCAGTGCAGTATATTTTATCTTGTGTGCCATGTTGCAATCTTTAAAATATAAGATGATGCATTTTCAAAAATCATTTGCATTTCTGTTAGTTTAGTGATTTAAGTGTTAATTTTAGGAAAGTTCCTTAAAATGTATTTGTCAAATTTATATTGTATTGTACATCCATGAGCAGCTGAGTCCACCAGGAACAGATAGGGAATTTGGTGTGGCTTGTCCAGTGCACTTTTTAAGGTTTGAGGTAGTTAAAATGAATGAAACTGGTAAAAAAATATATTTTGTTGAGATTTCTAAATGTGTAAACCATTTTAGATGGAACAGTTGGTATGTCTGAATCTTTTTATCCAGCATGTTTCAACTGAATACAATCTTACATCTTTGAAAGTGCCTCTAAAGGATTCTCTGACTTTTTATTGTGATAGTTTTTGCCACTCAAGATTATTTTAGCATGTTTATTTAGTTATGAGATTATAAACACACAAGGTACCACTCACTACTTAAAGAAAACATAAAGCTGAATATACACACATATATTGTATAGCTGGAGTGTGTATTTTGTCAAGATCTATTAATAGAAGTGTTATTTTTGATTAGTTGCAGTATTCACACTTACCAAAAGATGGCAGTATACACAAGCACTGCTGATGTAGTGTTTTTGCAGAGACGGGAGTCAGACACATGCTATTAATTGACATCTAACTGCATGTAGGATGATTATATGTTTGATACATTGATTTCTGATTACAACAAACTGTCAGCTTTTAATTTTATTTGTATTTTAATAAATAATGTTTCAGTTATGTAGCTGTGCAGCAGCTATATATCAATGTCTTCCCACATTTGCAGGTCTAGTTAAGTTACCCTTATATACAAATAGTTTTTCCAAACTGCTTCAGTGAGATGGTAATTGTGGTAAACATACAAGTTATGTTACCCCAACATCACATTATGGTTGTAGTGTGATGTGAAAGCCCTTTTAAGTTGTGGAATTGGATGATTATTAGGTGTTGGCTGAACTTAAGGGGAATCCTTACCATAAAAAGTATTTGTACGGCTTTGGACACCTTGGAGAATATTTCAAATATGAGCAATTCATCATTAAACAGTGGATTCATGCAGTACAACAGTAAGTCAAAATAAAATCAGATTTTCCTCAGTAACACAACCAACAGGATTTTGAAGTCCCACAGGGAAAATTAAATGTTACACCGTCTCCATCCAGAAACCCAAGGACAAGGTCAGTAACAAAGCAGCACTGCTGAAACCAATAGGAAAGTCAGCGTCTGGCCCACAGATGCTCGCTGTGTCTGGGCCTGAACCTGGATATTTTGGTTGAGACAGTATATGTTAAAAACCACATCCTAAAGAGACATTTGGACTCCTAAGGAATTAAAAGATACAGGGACATTTGAATAGATTAGACATTTCTATAACCACTAGATATGCATGTATAAGTCAGCTACAAGTGAGGAGTAACAAGTTACACTACCAGTCAAAGGTTTGGGGATACTTTCACATTGAATTGAATGGGAAAATGTGTCCAAACCTTTGACAGGTAGTGTATATGAACAAGAACAAAAGTTTCAGCTTATGCATTTTATTATTCCATGACAGGAGACCCTCATTACTACATTCCCTGCTCTGATCCAGCTCTGGGCTGCAGAAGTCTGGCATGCTGCCAGCTCCCGCCCTGAGTCTTATCCTACTGTTGATGCATGCCCCCCACCCCCAACCTATACAGTACCTTCTTACCTTCAACAACCTAAATATGATGTGCTTGATTAGTATTAACCAGTGCTGTAGATACCAATGAAGAGAAGGGTTTCTCAGATATGTGACTGTCAGATTCATTTGCCTATACAGTATATTATTTAAATGTGATCAAAACAGTTGGAACAATGCTAAGATGACTAAAGCTTGTATACTTAAGGTGAAAATTAATTCATCTACCTGGAGTATATACTGTGTATGGCTGTGTTTTTGTGGGTGGTGTCTCAATTCCAATCCAGCACATTTTTGGAGTTTAGCATACTCTTCAGAAGGGAGGGGGCTTTCCCCCGAACAAAGCACAAACATCCATAGAGTCTGGGTAGAGGGTAAATAGAGTGAAAAGATTCATGACCAACCCGTAGCTCTGCAGCTTCAAGTTTGCACACTTGAGCAGCTGGCAGCAAGCCACTTGGCCAACACAAGCAGCCCTAATCCTTTTTCCAAGGAGCTTTCAACACTCATCTCTCTGGCACACTGGTCAAACTCTCTCTCTTTCTTACATTCCTGTCTCTCTGGAGTTCTGCAGAGCCGTCACCAGGAGGCACTGTGGCCCTTACAATATAAATGCTGTTGGATTTGTACTGTTGATCATTATTCACTGCTAAGGTATGTGCCTTCCTTTGATTTTCCCCTGAAGCGAAACAGGTATCGGTTTTCATTCTTTCTTAGTGGGAATGGAGGCTTAGTTTCACGATGTCATGTTAACCTGAAGCCCACAGAAGTACAAGGTGTTCATGAAATTGGTGTTGACAAAGGTAAACAGGGAACTTTCATACAGTTTTTATGCTTCTATGCTTCACTGGCAAACATTTTTATTCAAATCCCCCTTTGTAGTGAAAGGTTAACAGTAGGGTTTTTCTTGGCTTGTTTCCACTTTTAATGCCAATTAAACTGCTAATACTTGAAGGCAGAAACCAAAACCTTAAAATTCAGAGAAATAAAAATTGATTTAATGAATGTCATTAATAAATAAATAAAACATGATTATTAGCATTACAAATCTAAATATAGACAAGACATTTTCTGTGTGAATGTCTTAGGTCTGTTTCCCAGGGGGCGGGGGTCAGGGAGATCTGGGGTTTCAATTTCCTTTGCTCCCGGGGGGGATTTAGCAGACACAGGGTAATTTGTAGTGAAATTTCCAGCACAGTTTGTTTTGCAGGTGGCTTAGAACGAAGGCAGGGCGTGGTGGGGAATGAGAGAAGCAATTTGCTGCCTGTGGGCTGTGAATGTGTGCACTGTTGCACAGCAGTGTGTTTAATGCTGAGCCGGTATGTGCTGTGGTCAGGGCTGGACTGGGGGAAGTGAAGCAGCAGCAAAACATTCATGGGCAAAGCAAACCCACAATGAGTGAATATATTACCTATTATAATACCTTTTGTATCTATAGTATATGGTGGCTATAATAATTATTCATACTTCATTTTGAAAGGGCTGTCTGGTCTGCAACAGAACTAGCTACTTCGTATATGAACATGAAAAAACTATGTCAACTTGACACAGGAGTCAAAATGATTATTTCAATCTGTGAAAGAGGTCACATGACAAAGCACCAGGAGAATTTATTTGAAGTCTAGGAGACATTTTCGTCTCACAAGCTTCAGAGGGGATTCAGTTAAAAACTTTTTCTTTGAATCTTCAGTTACAGTTTCAACATGCAAATCCATGTCAGATGTTACGGTGCCAGTCGAAGAACACACAAGGTGTCAAGGGCAGAGTTTGGATTGCTTAGTTTGTTTTTATCAGCATACATTTAATCTAATAGCAAGGAATATTAAATGTCCAGAGTTCAATGTTTTTGTGCAGTGGATCGAGCTCCATGAGTTGAATGAAATTGATCTAACATAGTGTGGGCATGCTCTATGTTATTCCTTAAGTCTGATTCTATAAGTAAAGGATCATCTGGAGTCACAGCAGGCTGAACAATGTGACGTTGTGTCAGTCATATTGCTGCAGGGGCGGCTGTTTTCCTTTCACCCCAACTCAGCACCTGTTTTACATTCCACCTGAGGTATGAGGGGTCTTCGCTCAAGGGACAGTTCTAGTCAAACTGCACAGTAAATTAAGAGAGCAAAGTTATGTTGTCTCTTGAATTATTGTGACATCTCTCAGACATCAATAATTATTCCCAAAGTGGCATTGTTGCATCTGTTGTATTCAGATGATATTTTGGCCATGCTGTCAGTGCCCAAGGTGTACTACAGTAGGTGCACAACAAAATGATATTGATATACTTCTCATCTTTGAATAATAATGAAACTAGATGTCACACCTCTTACTCTACCACCAGCAGTCATCATTTTAGCAGCAGCTCCTCTACCTAGAAATCAATATTAAATAAGAACATTAAAATGTTTTAAAATTGTATTTCTTTTTACTGTAGTTAAAAACATTAAATCATTAAATTATGCTCTCTATTCAGCATTGACCACTTTCTGGCCACTTTCTTAGGTACACCTGTACAATCTTTTGCAATCTAATACAACAGCATACATTCTACCTTTATGAAGTTTATTTTCTGTTTAGTTTTTGTTGAACTTGCCCAAAGTGTATACATTTAATTCAGCACAACCAGACCTGTTGCTCTGGGCATCATAAACTGAAACCACTGGACTATCAGTGTACTGACAACCCTGTGCATCTCTTACAGACGCCAAAGGTACCATTAACACATTAGCATCTGCTGCTGGCTATGCTGCAGATATCTACAGGTTTCTAAACAATGACTGTGTTGGTAAAACATGTTGTTTTGGAAGTAATTTTGCAACATACTTTATAATTAGAAATCCAGCTGGAGACTGTTAGACCATTAAGCATGTCTATAACCAATGTGCTGTGTGATGTCATACTGCTTCAATTTCTTACTTTATATTCATCTACTATTGTGCCTTGGTCCGATTTGGTGCCCTCATATATTTTCTCCTGTCAAGACTATATTGATACTATCGATGTATTACACAGAAAAAAAGCATAAAAACAATTATTCTCCCCGAGTTGCTCTTTCTCCTTCTCATTCTCCTCCTCCCTTCCCGTCCTTCTACAGTGTTAAGGCAGGGCAACCCACCTTTGGCCTTTTGCTTTGATTTGTAATTGAATAATTTAATAGCAATTTAAAGTTTTTAAATGTGGAAAGTCCAGGTATTTCTTTGTTAACTTGGTTTATCAGGCAGTATGTCAGTTTTCATGTCACTATGAGATAACGCTAATCAGGAGACAGTGTCAGAGGCTGAGAAATGAAGACAGAGGTTTATATTTTTACAGGCCGAGAAAAATGCAGAAAGTTAGTTTGTATTTTTGTAGAACTGGTTTAAGAATTCACAAAACATCAGGTTGCTGTGTGTCATGAATTTAGAAAACTAGTTAAAAAGTCTAATTGCATCTTAAGAGATGCTGCGGAGCTCAAACTGCATACTGTCTCACATTAACTTGCACTCCATTGTGTCTTTGTTAGTTGTAAAGGACGATGTAAAATGTTGGCAGGAAGAAAGACTCCGCTGAGACAGGCATGGATGAAGAGAGGATAATGGGTTGGACATGCTTCTCTAAATCGTTGGATATAACTCAACTTGGCTTGAAGGAGCACAAGACAACATAAGCAGGAGGCTCAGTATGGGCTCCCATTACTCTCTTCATATAATACACCTGCAGTGCTGATGAAGGAAACAATACAAATACAACCGCATTAAAGTTAGTTGGAAATCATTAACCAGCCGAATATCTTTATACACACTGCACAAAGAAATTTATAGTAAACATTCAAATTAATCAGAAAGAGTTCAACAGTTAACAGTTAAAAGTCTTTCTGTTCTACTAGCTTTCAAATGCCAGATTTAACACTGTTTTTGGTTTATAATAACTGTTGGATCATTTTCCTTTTTTATTTTCTGCCTTTGAGACATTTTAAGACCTTAACACAAAATCAGGGCCCTTGGTCTAAGTGGCAGAACTGTTTGTGAATCTGCTGTG